TTTTTTTTTTATATCCTTTAAATCCTATTGCTTTATAAAGGCCTACAGTATGAGTATATTTCTTATCATTTGCCAAAGCAATGAAATTAAAGCTTTATAATTTGTGACTTCCCATATTGGACGAAAGAAGGATTAAGTATAATTATTCTTTTAGAAGTCATCAATATACATATATATATATATATATGTTACTGTAATTAGCAGGTTGTGTTTTTTTCCACAAAATTTTAATAAATTAACGATTACAAATCAATATATGAAGGTAAAACAACAATATATGAAATTTATAGCATATTCAATGCTATAATCTTAAACGAGTTCATTTATTAATCGTATTAAGTGACGGCTCTGAGCTTTAAATTTGGCAGCGTATGAGTTCAAACAGCTCGAACAGTATGATCAGCCAAAAATTTAATTAATTAATAAATTAATAAAATTGTATTGTTGTTATTCAATATTATTCGAAATACTCCTCAATTGAAAATAGTAGTTTATATTAAGAATTTAGTTTCTTTCGTCAAAAAGGACGTTAAAATTCAATTTAATTAAGTGACCAAAAGAAAACGTTGTATAGGATTTCAAATTAAAAAGAAAAGTTTTAAAGTAAATTAAGCAAACTGATTTTAACCAATCAACCTTTAGAGAATACCTGAGGAACTGAGTTTTAAAGCTGAATTTTTAATTTTTGTATGATAGACTCAATAGTTTCATCAACAACAATCATTATTGTAGTACTTAAAGAGTTATCCTCGAAGATCGGTGACTTCAAATATTTCACAAAAAATACTCTGCTGATGGTAAATCTAATTATTCAACAGGCTACAGTAAAGCACCATTTTTGGAGACAATATACTCATCAAATATTTGCTTGAATAATTTATTTATTTATCTTAAAACATAACTCCTAAGACTGACTCGTTGAAATCAAAAATTAAAGATAAGTCCTTGGTAATGGATATGTTCTAAGCCTCACTGATTTGTTTTAATTATCTTAGTTTTGAAACTATGATACTAGCAATCTACAAATATCAGATAGAGGAAGTAATTTTTTTGAAACTACGAAGACACAAGTTGCAGAAGAGGCGCGGGTTCAATAATTATAAACCTTTCTGCAGTCTAGAGAAAGAACTCTTTGTTTCTTATGAACGGCACAGAGGAAAAGAAAAGAGAACTCTATTGGGTAGGACTACCAAATTTATAATAAAGACACAAGTTAAACTTATGCATAAATAGTATAGAAAAAAATTTAAAAAAAAATTATGTTACTTGAAAGTTTATCAGCAACTTTAGTGACATTATAGTGATTATTATTATGGTGATTATAGTGATTATAGTACTAACAATCTTATGTAGTGAAAGTACATTGACTCATATCACTCCTTTTGATAGTACCTATCATTCTACACTGTTCGATGATGCATTATTATTATTATTATGTTGAGGATAGTTGATTCAGTGCATTTGCGCACTTTTACTCTCTATTAGCTGCGAGGTTCTTCATAATCCCTCTCTGCGCCTTGACTGGATTATTGTTTATCACTTCATTAGAGTAAGCAATAATTGATCTCACATCTGGAGAAGCCTGTAACCATTCTGAGATTCGATAACATTGTTGTTAAAATTGAGTCATTAACAGCAACTGGAAGGTTAATGTTCGGCCTGAAAATTATTTTTAAAAATTTAAATTTTAATGCAAAAATTTACACGACGTTGATTCAAAATTAAACCTGTTAAGATTCCATTTAAACTTTATTTACGAATAATTAAATACAACAATTATTTCCAGAACCACTGATGATGGATATTTGATAATACTCGAAACAGCTGTATGGTCAGCCAAAAATTCATTTAATTAAAATAATATGGCTGAAGTATTATTCCGGATATGTAAGTAAAATTACTTTACTATGGATTTTTAGGTTGTGCTCCTTTACGATGGTTGATATTATATATAGAGATAATTATTAAACGTTTTAACTTTTATTAAATATAAGACTTCTCGCATCATTATCGAATTTAAAACAACTTAATAGCTAATTATTTATAAAAATATTGAGCTCTTTATATACTTACATATTTATACACTAACATGGGAACCTTATCTCTATTCCACGCTCTGTTATCGGTCGTATACTCATATCTCCCCTGCGTTTTCCATAAATTACTTTTCCTAATTCTAAAAGCCACAATTACTTAACATTTAACTAAATATTTATTAAAAAAGAAAATACACCAATAACTTTCCGCTTTTAGCGATGAATGCTTGCCTCTTACTCCAGGATATCGCTATTAAATTTTCCAAAATTGTTAGAAACTTGTAAACAATTGAGCAAATGTCCTTTGCGTGACCTCTTAACATAATTTAAAGTTGTTATCTAAAACATTTATGTTTGAACTCCTCTTAACGTTTTGTGATATTTCAACATTTTTGCGACACAGTCAAGCACACATAGAGATCTTCAAAGCCATTTGGACACACATAGATGCTACGCTTATTATGAGGAATCCACAAAAGCATAAAAACAAGACATTAAGTTAATGACCTTCTGTTTATTTTGAGATATATTTCCTTTATATTTCGTTGGCTATATTTTTTGTGTATTTTAGTTTTAAAACTTGTAGCCACAAGTTTAATAAATATTATTGTAACAAATTGCCTTGTAGCGTAAACGCATCGTTACTTCTGCGCATCCTGGGGCCATTTCGGTATGTCGTTCCCTTCGTAATGCTCGATACAACCTACAGGATATTCTCCCAAATATCTGTGTTTGTGTCTGTGTTCGTGTGTTTGAGTTCGTGTTTTAGTTTTACTTTTTGTTTCATATCTTGTTTGGTTGTTGCTCTTACTCTTCCTATTATTACTGGTGGTGGTGTTGTTGTTGTTGCTGTTGCTGTTGTTGGCTATGTACACATGTATACATTCGAATTTGGCTTTATGCGTGTGTGCATGCGTACGTGTATGTGTTCGTTTATCGTTGCTCTTATTGCTACAATATATCGCATGTTTCTCATGCGATGGCCCCAAGGATGTTATGATAAACATTGAATTAAGTATCCTTACATCAAGATAGCGTTGAGCAGTAGGAAATATGTTGCTTTTGTTGTCGAAATAGCTTTTGTTTTTAACTTTTCATATTTGCAATGCCTTGTTTTGTTGTTGTGTTGATGTGTTGTTTTGTTTGCTGTTCGAAATGTTGCGGTTCGTTAGTAGCGTGCAATTATGTCAACCGCTATGTTTCCAAGGACAACATTTGTGCTATCCATACTCCTTACTCTCAGCCCGCAACTCACAGCTCGCAGCTCGCAGCATATTATTCTCCTATTTAGAAGATTGATT